CATGATCCATACAATGCAGCAGTCCATCAGGAAGTTCAGCAGCCTAGCAGCAGCCGAGAGCAGGGCCAACAAGCAGGCACCACAGGAAGGCACCAAGCAGAGATCTGCAGGGAGAGCAGCAGCAGCAAGCAGTAAAGAGGTGTGCCGGGAATTTCCGACAGCTGTCGCGGTATCTTGGAGCCGAGAAGGCCCCATGCTGACCGAGACAGCGCTGAGGAGTAATTGCCAGAGGATGAAGCAGCGGGGTGGAGAAGGAGGAGTCTTACGGGGTGCAAGGAGTGGCGGGGGTGTACATATTTGTACCATAACGCTTTCGAATGTTGTATGCGTATGAGTGGGCTCGGGTTGGGTGTATGTTTGTTTTGTGTGACGAATGTTTCTTTTGTGTACAGGGCGAGAGCTGATGACGCGGATAAGGTCAGCACGGCCGACAGGTGGCGAAGAGCTGCAGTTCATCATGCAAGCCAAGCAAGCAGCTGGCAAGGAGCTCGTGCTGGAGCTCATGCAGCCCCAAACCGCCTGTGGTCTGTACATACGGCTCGGTGCCCCGAGCCTCGCCCAAGCGTGGTGGAAGCATTAGGCTAGGGTTGATTGTTCTCACTGTACATAGCCCTGCTGAAACCCTAGCTCAATCGCTTCGTTGTATGTTTTCCATTCTGCTCCAATGTAATCCTGTTGCAACAACCACAGGCAAGCATGAGCGCGCTAGGAAACCATCCCGTCAGGCTAGTGTGGTGAGGAGATAGTGGAATATCACCAGAGAGTTCACTGACATGATCCATACAATGCAGCAGTCCATCAGGAAGTTCAGCAGCCTAGCAGCAGCCGAGAGCAGGGCCAACAAGCAGGCACCACATGAAGGCACCAAGCAGAGATCTGCAGGGAGAGCAGCAGCAGCAAGCAGTAAAGAGGTGTGCCGGGAATTTCCGATAGGGTGGTAAAAGGTGAAGTCAGAGGAGTCCTTAGGGAAGACACAAGGAACGGCGCGAGGCGAGAGCTTGTCCGCGGAGGTGTCGCGGACAAGAGCCAAGCAACCCCAGACACGAAACCGCGACGCAACACCAGGGGACCCGGTCCAAAGACTGGTCGGCGAAGCCTCTGGCCGAGAGACGCGTGGCCAGAGGTTCAGCTGGTGCGCGGCGTACCGAACCGCGTAGGGCCACAGAAAATGGGGGGCACGGGCGTGAGTCAGGGAGGTACGAGCGACCTCCATGACCAAGCCAATGTGGCGCTCAGCAACCCCATTCTGCTGTGGGGACTCTGGAAGCGTCCAGGACTGACGAATGCCCTGCTCGTGACAGAATCCAGCGAGAATGCCGGAGCAAAACTCACCCCCGCGGTCGGAGTGAAGACAGCTGACACGACGACCACGAGTGTCCTGCGTGGTAAGCAACCACCTAATCAGCGTAGAAGTCACCTCAGACTTCTTCGCCAAGGGGAACACTGTGGTGTAGCGGGAGTAGTCGTCAACGACCACAAAAAAGAAACGCTCACGCTCAGGGCCTGACCGAGGGGAGGGGCCCCAGACGTCCAAGTGGAGTGTCTCAAAAGGCTCGGTGGCCGGACGAAGGGAGGAGGAGTGAGGGGTGGCGCGCAGCCGACCCTCGACGCAAGGACCGCACGGTGGTGCAAGGGACGGCGGCAGCGACGGCAAGACACGCGGGAGACCTAAGACCAGACGCTGACTAGACATAGCGCGTAGACGGGGGAGAGACGGGTGCCCCATCCGGTGGTGCCACAGAACGGTGGGGTGGGCAAGCGACCTGCAGGAGAAAGACGCAGCGACCGGACAGGACGCGACTACCTGAGGGGACGTAACCACCTGGTGAGACGCAGGGAGGAGACAAGGGGGAGGGACAGGAACAGGGAGTAGGGGCTGCTGCTGCTGCTGCGGCGGCTGCTGCTGCTGCTGCGGCGGCGGCGACTGCTGCGGCTGCTGCTGCTGCTGCTTCTGCTGCTGCTGCGGCCGCTGCTGCGCACGCGGGCCAGTGTGAAGAGTGTAGAGACCGGAGCCCGGCTCAGCAGCAAAGGTGGCCAGAGGCTGGTAAGAGTCTCCGTCAACACACACCGCAGTCTCTCCAGAAGGCTCAAACCACACACCCACGTGCTGACTCACGAGGGGTCGCACGCCCACCAAGTTCCGGGAGAACGAGGGGACGTGAAACCCAGTGAGAGACCCGGAGGGAGCAGCAGGACACGGCAAAGTGGTAGTGTGACGCGCAGTGACTGGTCCCGAGGTGGGATCAGCCAGCGCCACAGAGACAGGCGCAGGAAGTGGTGTAAGTGTCGTGCTGTCACGAAAGAAGCAGTGCGAGGCTCCAGAGTCCAGCGTGAAAGACAGTGAAGCGTCCGTCCTCCGAGGTAGCCGCTGGACTAGTGTCTACACAAGAAACTACACTAGCAACAGGCAACGGAGCAAGGCTAGCACCTAAGCTAACAACACCAGAGTAAACAGAGTCAGAAACACTAGAGTCAACAACAGCATACATAGCATGAGGAGTTCCAATCAGATCAGCTAACTGCTCGGCAGACATGTCCCACAGAGTGGAGCCGTAACGCTGAACAAGGGGAAGCCAGTCAGGGGCAGGACCGCCAACCCCGTAAACCAAACGAACCGTGTCAGTGAGCTGAGCAAAGCACTGACCAGGGGGGTGAAGGCGGCCACAAGGGTGGCCCCGGCGAGCACCTGTCAGAACCTGATAGGTGCAGGGAGGGTAAACAGCACCACGCTGGGGCTGACGCGGCCCCGACCCTGAAGCCAGCTGCGGCCGCTGCTGAAGCGGAGGCTGCTGGGAGGAGAGGGGCTGCTGCTGCTGCTGCTGCTGAAGCTGCTGCTGACGCTGGGCCCGGTACCACGCCGCTGCTCCACCCACCGGGGCTGGCAGTACAGGGGGCGACTGACGAACTCGGGCGTCGCCACCACCAGCAGGCGCAGTGGAGTCACCGGTCGCTGCACGAGACGTCTTTCCAAGTCCTGCACTCCCACCACCGCCAGTCGCAACGCCACCCCCACTACCTCCGCCTCCACCAACGCCGCCGCCAGCACCGCCCCTCTTGCCACCCCTACCGCGGGACCGCGACGAAGTCGTAACAGCAGCTGCGGTCGCGTCAGTAGCGGCAGTGGCAAGAGAGGCAGTAAAGGTGGGCAACTGCGGGACTGTGCACCCGTGGAAGAGTGGGGGGGGCACAGCACCAGAGGCAGCGGCTACGGAGCGGAGGTTGCTCTCGATGTCCTTGAGCGCAGACTCAAGGACCTCAATAGTGAGCTCACTAGGGTGCTTCAGGAGAAGCGCGTCACGAACGGAGGCAAGGCGGTCAAGGAGGCTAGTGGCGATGAAATAGATAGTAATCGCCATGGGAGGAGGAAGCAGTGCAAGTTGTGCCTCAGTGCAGGCAGCTCGGTAACTAGAGTCGAGCGAGCGGAGGTGAGCAATCAAGTCAGCAGAGCGCTCAAATGAGGCGAGATCAGGGAACAGGAACGGGAGGAAAAGGCGGCCAAGAGAGACAGCAGCAGGAGTGGAGTAGCGGGCCTTAATCGCAGTCAGGTACTCAGCAGCAGTGCGAACCTGAGTAAAGTGGACCTCCTCAGACTCAGGGAGGAGGGTGCTGAGCGCGATGCAGGCCGCAGCGTCACGCGACGTCCAAGCTGTCAGGTCAGCGTGCTGGCTAGCAAAGTGGGCTCTAGCGGCGTCGTCAGGGGCAGGGCCTAAAGGCGTAGGTTCGGGGGGCGCAGGGAGGGCACCAGTAGCGTGCGCCCAGAGGGTCTCGCCTGACTGGACCTGACTCTCTAACTGACGGCGAGCGCGCATAAGCCAGAGTGAAAAGTCAAGGGGTCTACAGTCAGCGTCGAAACGAAGAATACGCGGAGTCGCCATAGCTGAAACTGACGGAAAAGCGGAGGCAAATGGCAACTAGGGTTTAGCCCTAGTGAAGGAGAGGCGCGGCCGCAGACGAGACCAGCAGCGGCGATTGGTGGGGGGAGCGGACGCTACGGCGAACGCGACAGCGGGGGGCGGCAGCGCGCGCGGCGGGCGACGGCAGCGCGTGCAGCGGCGGGCGCAGCGGCGATGTGCGCGGGGGCAGGCAGCTGCGGCGGGCGCAGCGGCGACGGGCGCAGGCTGCGGGCGCAGAGACGGGCGACGGGAGCGAGCGCAGCGGCGTCGTGCGCGCGGGGGCGGGAGGCGGCGGCGGGCGCAGCGGCGACGGGCGCAGGCTGCGGGCGCGGCGGCGGGCGACGTGAAGAGGCGCAACGGCGGCGCGCGTAGAGGGGGACGGGCGACGGGACGACGGGCGGGGAGAGCGAGACGCGATGGGGGCAGGGGAAGGCGCGATTCGACGGGCAGCGGGGGGGAAACGCGACTCGACGGGCAGCGGGGGGAAAACGCGACTCGACGGGCAGCGGGGGGGAAAACGCGACGGGCAGCAGGGGGGGGGGGGGGGGGGGGAGGTCGCTACGCTACGAGAGCAGTGGATCGGCGGAACGGGCGGTAACGGAGGAACGCGACTAGAGAGGGCCGGCGCTAGGCTCGGGCAAGACGTGCGCATCTAGTACGACAGAGGGAGACAGGCTCGGGCGAAACGAACGAGGACGGGAGGAGCGGGATCCCACAGGATCCGAACCTAGGTGATACCATGTCAAACTGAGGAATGAATGATGCATTGATGTTGGTTTGGGGTACATATAACAAACCCTAAGTTTTGTACCTCCTAAGACAAACCTCACTACAGGTTATAACATTTGACAGTGTGATGGTATTGTTTGTGAATATATATTGTTTAGATGTCCAAAAACACTTGCCTATGGAATATGACACCTTAGAGATGAAGAAATAAATATGTAATGTTAACACATTTTTTAATTTAATAGTGAGTGAATTCCTCAAAGGCCTCTAACCTTTATTGAATTCGTCTACTGTTAGCAGTTCAGTTTAGTTCTGAGCTTCGTTATGCCCCAATATCTGTCCCTTCACCTCGTTTTGTTCCCTTTAATATTGCTCGACATGCAGCAAAGCACGTGTTGGCCTGTAGCGATTCCCTCGTGCCGCCGCTTTCTGTTCAACGTGTCGCGAAACGAGGAGGGGATATGGTGTTTCGCGATTCGTATCAGCGTCGTCGGATCGGATGTGAAGTATTATTAGCACATGTAGTAGGGTTAAATATGAGTTACTCGGAGGTGTTTCTGATTTTCAGTTTTGTTGTTTGTAGCGTGTGTGTGCGCCAGTCGCCATGGAAATCGTTCACCTGCTTCTAGACTTTACGTTGCTGCCCGTGAGCATCGCGTTCCTCCTCTTCATCGCGCCTTTGGTAGCGGCAATGCGCTTTGCGACGTGGGCTTTTGGCCTCTTCTTCCCCGAGGACGTTCGGGGCAAGGTCGTCGTCATCACGGGCGCGTCATCGGGCATCGGTCAGGTCTGGTCCTCGCCCACTCCGTGAAGCACCGCCGTCGTCAATCCGAACATGTTCATTCCCCGGTCGTTGACATCTGCAGCTTTACGACTAGAGAGGATCGCGCTGTAGAGCGGGCCCTTACCACCCGCCATGAATTCTCCTTTCCGCAGGAGGCAGCGCGGGTATATGCGCAGAAGGGCGCGCGATTGGTGTTGGCGGGGCGGCGGGAGGAGGAGTTGCGGCGCACTGCGGAAATGTGCAAGATGGAGGGCGCGGAGGCGCGCGTTGCTCTGGTGGACGTGACGGTGGCGGCGGAGTGCGAGAAGCTCATCAACGATACCATCGCCGCTTTCGGACGCCGTGAGTACCGCATCCCGCTTTACTCTACCTCCCGCCTGTGGAGGTGTTGGTGGTCATGTGGGTGCGAGTGAGTGTTTGCGTTACGTGTGGGGGTGGTGCGTGTGGCAGTGGACCATCTGGTGAACAACGCGGGCATCGCGCACAGCTTCTTCATGGAGGAGGCCAAGCACACGGACGTCGCGGAGGTCATGGTGAGCGCTCCTTGCACCCGCTTTGCATGTACCTGGTCGTAGTCATACCCTTGCTGCTGATCGTGTGCGCATGCATTTTTGCAGGATGTGAATTTCTGGGGCGCCATATATCCCACGTTCTATGCACTGCCTCATCTGCGGCGCTCCCAGGGCCACATCGTCGTCACGTCGTCTGTGGCGTCCTTCATCCCATACCCCCGCATGGCCATCTACAATGTACGTGCCGCCCACTGTTGGCAGATTTCTCTACATATGCTGCAGCTTTGCTCAGCTATGTGTCGCTGTTTTGATTGGAAGGATATGCAACGTGAGCTAGAGTGCATGTGTGGTGGCAGGCAGCCAAAGCAGCGCTGGTGAACTTCTTTGATACGCTGCGCGTGGAGGTGGGAGACGAGGTGGGCATCACTGTTGCTACGCCCGGATGGGTGGAGAGCGAAATGACGGCTGGCAAGTTCGTGACAGCTGAAGGCAGGGTTGTGTGGGACAAGGAACAGAGAGATGTGAGTGCTCACATTCATGGTGGATTGGTGTCTCTCCGTATGTCTTATACAGCTGGTTCAACCTCAGAAGCCCTCACATCACAATGAACTAATGCTGCCCTTTTAATCTGGCAGGCTCATGTGGGTCCATTCCCAGTAGAGCCTACTGCATGGTGTGCGTCTGCTATCGTGAATGGTGCACTACGCCGCCAGCGCTACGTGCGGGTGCCATCATGGTACACAACGTTTCTTTACTACCGTGTCTTCGCCCCGGATGTGATGGAGAGTTTATCTCGGCTCTTGTTCACAGCCCCCCGGGGGAAGACTCCTATTAGCAAGATGGTGGTCGAAGCTGGTGCTGAGAAGATGTTGTATCCTCAAGCTATTCAGAAAGGGGATTAGAGCTAGAGTTGGTATAGCTCACATGTATAAATGAATGGAAGATTGTTTAGTACAAATTGGTACAATGCCGGTGGAATATATGTCCATTTCGCGTTTGTTCGGGACAAGTGAAAACGAGTTTGACAACCATAGTCAGTGAGCGGTGGGGACAACTGTTTTGAGTATAATATTTCGAAGTCACCTGGTTGAATCTGAGTTTTGCTTCACTGGATAGCAAATTAACTTATATATCGCTCTGTGCTATTTTATTTTCGTGAATGTACGATTTCATTTCCTTAGTAAGGTAAGTGCGCTGCTAATTTGCAAAATAATCGATAAATGTTGTCACGATGCATGTACGCACGTTGAATATGATAGGGTGAATTACAAACAAGCTTTCTCAAAAACAAATGAAACCCAGTTGGAGCACTAAGCTGCCACTTGAAAAGCCAGTGACGCCGTCCACAAATTGCCGACGCGAAGTAAGCCGGCTAACGAATTTTGCTATTACTCTAAGTACTGTCAGATTAACTTGGGTTGTTTCCGGACTCTTTTCCTGACATTACAAACGTGGCTGAGGCGGCTGGGGGTTGTGAGCAACAGCAGTGTCAAACACTTGCATGACGTACGACTTGCCACGAGCTTCCTCACACCTCGCTAAGCACCCTTAGGGGAGCCAGCGTCGAGTCGCCCCCAGGGTAAATATGCGGTTCATCCGCTTTTCTTTTTCTCGGCCCCACTGGATTAGCCCCAATGGTAAATCAGGGAAACCTCCTTTGGTATTACCCCGGCTGTCGACCAAACATGAATTGGGGTCAATCGCTTTTCTTTTTCTCGGTCCTTTTGTGGCTGGTGTGCTTTCGCCCCAACCTGACCAATCCACCACAACTGAGGTCGTGTCCGTAGGGATGACATGTCAAAGCGGGCAGTGTCAATTTGGCATTTTGACACTCAGCCAACATTGTTGGCAGGGTGTCAAGAAATTGCATGTTACCATCCAATACAAATTGGCACAGTCAAACCTACAAACGAGAGAAGATGGTCGCAGGTGCCTATCTCACGACCAGATGCTGCCCAATCAGCACACAATCTGTCTTTTGAATTGTTCGCTACCTGGCAGATCCACCCATGACAAATTCTCAAACCAATGAAATTCCGTCGCTGATGTTCGTACATGCGCTTCGACTTGACACTTCAGCTACAATGTTTGACACGCTAATTTGAATGCGCTTCGGGTTGACACGCCCTCACTTGACATGTCAAGCCTACGGACACGAACTGACAAACCATTCACCACGGTTAGGCAGGGCAGTGCACAGTCCAACGTCGTTTAGAGACGGCGGTGTTGGGTGGTGGTGTTGGTGGATGTTGGCGGGTCGTGTGGTCAGGATCGCGATGTCTCTTGCCTCTAACCAGACACTCCCATATGCAACAAAGTTGCTTCCTTCACACGAGAGCAACTTCAGCAGAGCCACTCTTTCACGATGCTACGCATCACTCGCCGCCGTGCGACCAGCAGGCGACAGGCAATCGTCTCTCGCCTTTTTCTCCTCTCACTGCTCACTCTCAGTGCCGCTGCCGATTGCTTTTTCTCAGGCGAGCAGAAACCATCACCGCATCGCGATGCCTCTAGCCTGCGGAAACGGCGGGTGGTGTCCCCGCTAGTGCGACCCGGCCTCAGACGCTCACTTATAACGCTAAACGCGAGAACCGCGGCAGCCCGCGACGCGGCGGGGCCGCCCTTTCTTGAGGAGAGCCAGCGTGAGTCGTTCGCACCCGCATAGAACCGTTAACGGTTTTCCCTTCATCAACTGACTTATCCGCCACGGTTTCTGCGACCTCGTCGCCCCTTTCCCCCCCGCTCCCTCCCCCACTTCCCCCCACCCCCTCCTCATCCTCCCCCCCCCCGCTTCGCGGCGAGCGGCGCAGTGAGCGTGTTGGTGGAGCTGAACAAGGCGTGGGGCGCGTGGCCCAAGAACACCAACGCCACCACTGCGTGCACCGCCTGGCCTGGCGTCCAGTGCACCCCGCGCGGAGTCGTCGTTGGCATGTGAGCTTTCAAGTGGCTTCTCATCCTGACGCCGTGCTTGAGAGGGGCCGGGGGTGGGGAGGGTATAACGCCCCGTCCTACTAGACCTGGGGCCAGTTGTTCAGAGGCGCTGCCGTAACCTTTTCCCTTTGTGCAAGCCGCAGCGGGTTCATGGGTTCGGGTTGACCATGCTGTACCTTTTCAGAATGGGTTCCGTGGCGTGCGTGGTGGCCTATGCGAGCGGTGTCGGTTTGTCCGAGATTGCCAAGCATGCCGCGTGCCTTTTCGCTGCTCACTGCGGTCGTGGATTCCGTTTCGTGGCTTATCATGTACTGCGTGCACGCGCCTATGTTGGTGCATCCTTTATAGTGCCTTACACCGCCGCACACGCTCCTCAAGCACACGGATACCCAACTGGCTTGTGCGTGTTCGTGAGCAGAACTCTGAATGAAGCAGTCGACTCGACACCCGGTGGCGTGTTACCAGCGTCCATCACTCGCCTCTCCGCCTTGAAACACCTGTGATACCCGCAACTCCAACACCTCCATCATCACCTTCTGCTTCCGCTCTCTTCCTTTCCTCCCCTCCCGTTTGCATGTCCTCAACCAAGCGTACACGTGCACGTCCAGCACGTGTCCGACGTCCTGTGCCCATCACCGCTCGCCCTGCTTCCTTGCGCTGTTTGCCGTGTGTGCAGCGACCTGACATATGGCATTTTCCTGAAGGGACCCATGCCATCACTCGCCACGCTCACCCGCCTCACCTATCTGTGCGTGCCCGCGCCCGTTGCTCAATTCCCCCTCCCTTGTCCAAACGCCACGCTGCACCCGTTCTGTCCACCACCGCCCCTCCGTTCCCCGGATGCAACAACACCTTTTCTTCTCGTGCCATGCCCGCCGCCCTGTGCTTCCCGCTGCCCTTCACATGCCGGCCTGTGTCCTCTGCACGTATCCCCTGCGCTCAGCGCCCTGGGAGAAGACAACCTTTGCAAGATGACTGGTACTTTCGGCGACCTCTCCTGGCTCTCCGCGCTCTCCAACCTGCAAACGCTGTACGCCCTGCACTCGCTGTTCGCGCCGCACACGCACGTCCAAGCACTCTGACTGTACGCCTTGTACGACAGGGCCGCCATGATGCTCTGTTGCGCTTGTCATGGCTTGCCCCTGCATGGTGCACAGCATGCACGGTGCGTGCATGGTGCGTGGCACAGGGCACAGCAGCACGGTGGCGTGGGCCTCTAGTGTGCCTTACCCCCACCCATGTGTGCATGTGCTGCCTGCCGGCGTTGGTGTGGGAGGTTGGGGTGGGTGCGCCGACTCGTTGGCGGGACGGGGCATGTGGTGTTGCCGCACCAACCATCATGTGCCTCGCCCACCACCCCTTGCCTGTCTCCGTCCGCTGCACCTGCTCTCGCTCTGTTGCGCCCGCCCCCACCAGGAGGCTCACGGATCTGGTGAACTTTCACGGAGACCTATCGTCTCTTGCCATTCTCTCCAACCTCCGTTCGCTCCAAGACCTGTGAGAGCGCCACCCCGCAGCACCGTACCCCTCGCATCTCACTCCCACCTCTGCTTGCATTGCATCACGTGCACCCGTTGCCTGCGGTGCAGCGATGGATGGCGCGCATGGTAACACGTGCGCTGCCCAGTGTGTGTGTGTGTGTGTGTGTGCGCGCGCGCGCGCGCGCGCGCGCACGTGCGTGTGCGTGCATGCGTGTGTGCAGGAGGCTATGCAGTCTCCCCAACGCAACAGGGCAGATCCCCAGGGACCTCCGATACTTGACTGGCCTTACTGCACTGTAAGCTCACCACACATGTTAGTGCACGACCCGAGGCACCACATGACATGTTCTTTCACACCACACCACCACCACGCACACACTGCATGCATACGGAAGGGTTGCTCCGCTCAGCCGCGTTCGTCCGCCCCTCTCTTGTCCCTGCACCATCCCATGGCACCCCCTGCAGCGACCTGTCATACCTGCGTGCCACAGACTTCCCCGACTGGGTGGTGCAGCTCTCCAACCTCCAATCCCTGTGAGATTCCGCCACCCCTCGCCGCCCCCTCACCACCTGCTCAACCACCCAGCCATCACATCACTGCCCCCTCACTCCCACACTCACGCGCATGAACGTTGCTTGCGCTGCGTGCAGGAATCTGAACACGGACGTGGACAACCGCCACGGGGTGCTGCCAGATGGCATCTCGCAACTCACCGCCCTCACTCAGCTGTACGTGCTGCCCACTCACCCGTGGTTAAGCCGGTAAGAACGAATGGGAGCTGAATACGAATACTCACTTCTATATACTTTGTGAATAGTGTTCAAGTTTGTATTTGACCGAATAGCTGTTCCAAGTCGAATGCAATTACTGTTGAGTTACTGTTCAGTCAAGTTCAAATCTGCCACAGATATACACATTCGACCAAGGATGAAAAATACGGTTTTCGTAAAAAACGGTCCGTTTTTTACGGTCCGTTTTTTACGGTAATTTTCCAAAAAAAACGGCGTTTTTTTGTTAGAAAACTGTCGTCACCAAGAAAAAAAGGGAAAAACAAGGCCAAATACATTTTCAATCATGCCCACAAGCGCACTCATGCAAGGAGGTGTTTGTCCTCTTCATGCTGGTGATTTTCGCCATCAATTTTGTCCCATAAATGGCTGATTTTTTCTTCGAACGAAACCACCTTCTGGAACCGTTTTTTACCGTTTTTTACGGCCGTTTTTTACGGTAAATTTTCAAAAAAACGGCGTTTTTTTTTACCTTGCATTCGACATTCGATTTAGGGGAAACTGATTATTCTTCCATTCAAGTGATTTCTGTTGCTGTTCTTGATTAGTCTCCTTGTGTGAATGTCTTGACCATTCAGCTGTGAGATCCCCTGGAGCATCTGAGGGCTATGTGGGCATGACGGTGCATGCACGGGGCATGGGCTGCCAAGCTGGACCACATGTGTAGCGCCCATCAATGCAGTATGGCCCGAGCGCTGGAAAGGCGTGTCCCAAGGGTGGATCTTGGCAAGCCAAGTCCACATGTCGGTGGTCCGATCATAGCGTGGCAGCGCATGCATGCATCCATTGGCACGTCACACAACCCGTTGTTGTGGAGTGGCATTCCGTGAAACAGTGTGTGCGAGCAACAGGTTCTGAGGGTGCTGCTTCATGACCCACCTCAATGCCACCATGCCGCTTGTCTTGCTTGGGCCCCACCCTATGCTGTGTGGTGCACTGCAGATTGATTCAGCAAAACAACCTGGCAGGCTATTTGCCGGGAGGGCTGTCCAACCTGGTCAACCTGCAACAGCTGTCAGGCCCCATGCCATTTCATGCTTCATGCTATGTCATGCCATGCCATTTCATGCCTTGCCATCCGATGCCATGCCATGTCATGTCGTGCCACGGGCCATTATCTGCTGCACTGCTGTTTGCTGGCCCGCACTGACTGCTTTTCCTCGTCACCTTCACTGTAGCAACCTGATTGCCACTTCGAGTGCTCCCATCCTTGCCACTGCCTGCCTTTCCACCAAGCTTATGCATATCTGTCCTCGCTTCATTGCAGCTCTTTGAATTACAACATGCTCCAAGGCGCCATACCTGAAGGGTACTCCACATTGACAGCGCTCACGGCACTGTACGTAATGGGCCTGTTGTCCCCTGTGCTGCCACGCCTTGCTGCATGCCTGCTGCACTGCCCACAGCCATGCGAGCCATCAGCACAGAGGGCCACAACCCAGGTGCCCTTAAGATGGGCAGCAGGGGTGGAGGAACGTGCGGGAGGTTGGGGCTAGGATGGCATGGTGTGAAGAGGGGCGAAGGGATGGCGTGGGTGGCAGGGGGGTCCATGGACACGTGCGTTGCTGCATACCTGCGCCATGGGCTGCACGGCATGGTGACCGCCCTGCCCACATTCCCATGTGTGCTCCACGTGGCACGCACGGTTCACTGCCAGAGCTGTTGCACGCATGCGAGAGGATGGGCGTGTCACGGAGTGAAAGCCAGGGAATGAGCAACATGCAGTTTACATTTGCATCTCTCCTGCCAACACCTCTGTACCTCTCCCTCTCATGCGCTACCTTGCTTTCCTGAGTGTCTCTCCCTTGCGCTGCTGCTCGTGGTGCTGGCAGCGACCTGTCGTGGAATAAACTGTCAGGGAGCATACCGCCAATCTTCACCACCAACATGCAGTCCTTGTGTGTGCCTCGCCCCTGCTTCTCTCCGCCTCCACCGTGGCGCCATGCACACTGCAAACTAATCCAGCAATCTCTCCTAGTGCCGCACACTCTAGCTTTCTCTGTGCAGTCAAGCACTTTGGCACTTGTGCAAATCAGCTACGTCGTTGTGCACTCATTGCCGCCTGCCTACATGCCTTACATACCTACCAACCTGCTGGCCCTCGTTTATTGTGTAAGCACGAGAGGAAACTGCAGTGGCACACACTAGTAACAGTGGTGACCAGGCGGTGAGGTGAATGCAGGGTGCAAGTAGGCGAGCAAGGCAAGGGTGCCGACAGAATTCAGCTTCCTCCTTCCCTTGCCTTCTCCTCCCTCCCCTGTCCTCCTCACCCTTTCCTGCCAGGATCCTAAGCTACAACGCGTTTGAGGGCAGCATCCCGCCATATCTCGCCCTGCCCACCCTCACTGAACTGTGAGCGGCCCCTCTTCCCGCTTGCATGTCACCACCACACACATGCCAGCCCTCAACCGCCACCACCTCTCTGCTGCCTTTTCCTGCTGCACAGTACGTGCAGGGGGCATGTGTGGGCGGCCATAAGCCTTGTGTGTGCACTGCATGCGCCCTGCTGTGCTGTGCTGTGCTGTGCTGTGCTGTGCTGTGCGGTGCGGTGCTGTGCTGTGCTGTGCTGTGCGGTGCGGTGCTGTGCTGTGCTGTGCTGTGCGGTGCTGTGCGGTGCTGTGCTGTGCTGTGTGTGCAGGGAGCTGAAGTACAACCGCTTCACAGGGGCCTTGCCCGCCACCTTCACTCGCCTCACCGGCCTTTACGTGTTGTGCGTCTCTATCCCCACCTCCGCTTTGCCGCATGCCTCTGCGCACCCCATCTTTTTCTTCTGTACTGGCCTCCATACAGAGTGGCAATCACTCCATTTCATGCTCAGGCTCTCCTGCTCGATATGTGCATGCAACAAGTTGCGATGCAGGTCATGCGAGTGGATGAGGCAGGGCGCCACTGGTGGACCTCTGCTCGGTGCTCATCTGAGCTGGTGACGTGTGTGCGTACACCCCGCCATGGCCACAGGGATGTAATAAGTAACAATCTCTCGGGGGGGCTGGACGTCATCGCTCGCATGCCCTGGCTCACTGACATGTCAGTCCACCCTCCTCGCCGCTCCACGCCGCTCCTCGCTCCTCCTACCGCTGCCTCCTCACTTTTCTCCGTGCCACCTGCGTTTGCCTTACTCTCTCTGTCCCACTGTTCTCTGCCCTCACTGTGTGCTCTGCCCTCACTGTGTGCTCTGCCCTCACTGTGTGCTCTGCCCTCACTGTGTGCTCTGCCCTCACTGTGTGCTCTGCCCTCACTGTGTGCTCTGCCCTCACTGTGTGCTCTGCCCTCACTGCGTGCTCTGCCCTCACTGCGTGCTCTGCCCGCTGCAGCATGATCGGCACCAACAACTTCTCTGGCGCCATCCCAGAGTCCTTCACAGCGTTCACAAGCCTCGGCTCCATGTGAGTCGCCGCGCCATGCTGTGTTCCCTGCTGCTATGCTGTCTGCCCTTCCCCCTTTCACCTGCAAAGCCTCATCGCATGACATGCACGTGCACCATGTCAGCATGGCATGGGCGGGGCTGTATGGAAGGATGTGAGGGCGTGGGCAGAGCATGCGCATCATGTGTGCCCCGTCACTCTGTGTGTGTGGCAGAGACCTGTCCAACAACCGCTTCACCGGGTCCTTCCCCGAGCTGCTTCTCACCCACACGGGGCTTGTAGCATTGTGAGATACTCTCTTGTTCTTGCGCCAGTATTCGCCGCTCGCTCCACACGCTCTTGCTGCTACCACTGCTCTAGAGCTCCCCTCTCATCCGCTATGTGACTTGTGCACCCAGTGCATGTCCCGTGGCATGTGTGGGCATGGCGATGGCAGGGATCTGTCCAACAACAGCTTCTCAGGGCTCATCTCCCACCAGTTGAGCGTACTCACGGGCGCGGTTGACATGTGAGTGCTGCTCTGCCCAACATGTCACTCGCACGCTGCTCTGCTGCTGCCGCCGCACATGCACCCTCGTGCACACCCTAGTTCTGGGGCCAAGGAAGACAATGGGGCCACGGGGCCAGCCCTGGTGGGGAGAGCAGGTAGGGGGCCATGCGGGGTGGCTAAAACGAATGTGGCAAGATGATGAGCGGAGTGAAACACGTACCCCTCACCTGCTCATGCGTATTGGCCTCATGTGCAGCAATCTGAGTGACAACCAGTTCCATGGGGCCGTGCCATCAGCCCTGTACCAGCTGCCGTTGCTCGGTTCACTGTGAGTGTTCCCTCCACCGCACTGCCCTCACCACTGCTCTGCATTGCTGCTCGGCGTCCTTTCCATTGTTCACGCATACCATTGCCCCGTCCACTAGCAATGTTGCCGTGTGGTCGTCTGACACGCCTGCCCCACTTACCCCCATCGCTCCCCCTCATGACAGGCAAGTGGCCAACAACTTCCTCTTGGGCGGCCTCCCACCCTCCCTCAAGGCCTCTTCCTCCCTCACCCTGCTGTGCGTGCTCCTATCAATCCGCGTGCTGCCACCAGTGAGCGTGCTGCTACTGCTTTCATGGTGTGTGTGGCTTCTCTCGTACGCGTATATCTGGTGCCCTCACCCGCCCCTTGCTGTCGTGTGTGCCTGGTGCGTGCCCCTGCCCACTGTGCAGCGATGTGTCAGGCAACGGCATCACAGGCACCCTACCCGACTTCTCCCGCTGGCGTGTCAACCTTACTCACCTGTACGCTCCACGCTGCTCCCTCTCTGCTCCGCGCTGCCCCCTTTCTGCTCCGCATTGCATGCAGCTGCTGCACACTGTGTATGTGGCAAGAGCCATCTGACCTGTGCCCCGTGGCGTGCATGCAGGGCAGCGAGCAACAACAACCTCACGGGGCCCATCCCCGACTCCATCTCCACGCTCACCTCGCTCGCCGCCATGTATGTAACCACACACTACTCCACGCACATGTCCATGCGCTGCACCCTCATGCATGCGTGCCACCTTCTACTGCTGCCCGCCACCAGAAGCACAGCAGGCTGATGCCAAGGCAATGCTGTGCTCACCGCATTGCCACTTGTGTTGCTCATGTACTGTGCTGTCCCCTCCTCACGCCCCCCAACTTCTGCGTGCAGCATTCTGAACGACAACCAGCTGTCGGGGTCCATCCCAGCTGCCATGCTCACGCTCACCAACCTCAAGTTCCTGTCAGCCCTCTGCCGCCCACACCCTGCCCCGCTGCACGCCTGTGCGCTGCCACGAGCTGCGGCACCTCTACACTGCCCAATGCTTGCTTTGCTGCCCCGTTCATGCTCACACGCTCCTACCAGCCTGTGCTGCCTGCGACCCCATTGACCATACGTCCCCCCGTGGCCCGCATGCCGTGTGCAGGTACCTGGCGAACAACCTTCTCAGTGGCAGCCTGCCTGCCGACATCAGCAGGCTACAGAACCTCGAGCAGCTGTGACCGCCCCTGCTCCTCCCCACTGCTTCTTTATTCCAATGCCTACCACCCTCAACTGCTTCCCCCCCACATGCTTCCCCCCCACATGCTTCCCCCCCCACATGCTTCCCCCGCACATGCTTTCCCCCCACATGCTTTCCCCCCACATGCTTCCCCCCCACATGCTTTCCCCCCACATGCTTCCTCCTCACATGCTTCCCCCCCACATGCTTCCCCCTCACATGCTTCCCCCCCACATGCTTCCCCCCCACATGCTTCCCCTCCACATGCTTCCCCCCCACATGCTTTCCGCCCACATGCGTCCCCCCCACATGCTTCCCCCCACATGCTTTCCGCCTGATATGATCCCCCCCTTACAAGCGCCATCCGTCCATGCATCACGTACCTGCCATGCCATGCCCCCTTGAAGCAGCAACCGATGCCATGTCCTGCACATTGCAACACTCCGTGTGCGCCCCACCTCACCGTCACCATGTGTGCCCTGGGTGCGGAGTGGGTGACAGGTGGCTGGACAACAACAGCATCCAAGGCACTCTGCCGCCCTCCATCTGCTCGCTGCCCGTTCTCTGGCGCATGTGAGTGCGTGCAGCGCCATGCCACCCACCCCTTCAGCAATGCACACTTGCTTCCTGTTTCCCTCGCAACCCGTGGGCCTCTTGTGACATGCCTTACGCTTGCTGACGTGGCATGCATGGTGTGCGGTGAATGGCAGCATGATGAGCAACAACTACCTGCACGGGCCCTTGCCGGTGTGCCTCTTTGACAAGTGCATCAACCAGATGTGAGCCCCGCCCTCCCTGCTACACTGCCTGCACCTCAACGCTCCCACACCTTTGTCTCCTGCTAACCACATACACATAGCTTCATTCTCGCTCCGCCCACCACTTTCACACTTGCATACTCACTCCATGGAGCAACGGAGTGGCACTGACGAGTGTGTGTGTGCGGGTGTGCAGTGACGTGAGTGGCAACAGCCTGTACGGGCGCATCAACCGCAACTTCCGCAACATGGTGGCGGACGGGGACGCGCTGGTGAACCTGGCGCGCAACTACTTCAGCGGGGACGCCGTGCTCTTTGCCGACGGCTGCCAGGTCTGCCCCATTGAGATCAACAACCCCAACCGCCTCGAGGTCGGTGACACCAGCAACGCGCAGGCGGCGGGCAAGTGCGTGCAGAGTGTGACCACCACGCGCGACTACTCTGTGGCGGGCGCTGGCAAGAGTGCACGCGTGAGCCTCTCTGACAACTGCCTCACCATCAACCCCGAACTGCCCTGCTCCTCAAACGCCACCCAGCGCAGCGCTGCCGCGTGCCAGGCCTTCTGCAGCATCACGGAGAACGGCCCGTGTGACGGCCATGGCGAGTGCGTGCCGCCTGCCCCCGGGGCCAGTGGCAACTTCTCGTGTGTGTGTGATGCGGGGTACAGCACGCTCTCCTCGGCCAATGGCTCCACTTGCGGCATCCTCAACTCCACCACCACCGTTGGTCAGCCCTCGCCCCCCGCCAACCCCTCCCTGCCGCACATTGATCACCTCGCACTTGCACTCACCGCCACTGCCTCTCTCTCGTTCAAGCACCCCTTGACATAATCCTCATCTTCCGTTACGCTCCCTGCATACACTTGCCCCCCTGCATGCCCTTACCCCCCTGTGCAGTGTCGTCGCTGTCAACGGGTGCCATAGTGGGCATTGCAGTGGGGTGCTTTGCGGGCATCACGCTGCTCACCGCCGTGCTCGCATGGCTGCTCTGGCCGCGTGGACCAAGTGAGACCACCCACCTGCTCCCATGCTCTGCCTCCTGCCCTGCTCCCATGCTCTGCCTCCTGCCCTGCTCCCATGCTCTGCCTCCTGCCCTGCTCCCATGCTCTGCCTCCTGCCCTGCTCCCATGCTCTGCCTCGTGCCTTGCGCCCCTCTGCCATGTGCTTCTGACGGTGTGGGGTGGGTGTGTGTGTGTGAGCAGAGAAGTGGGAGGGGTTGGACGTGTGTGAGCAGTTCACGCTGCAGCAGATAATGAAGGCCACCAACAACTGGTCGTCGGAGAACGTGCTGGGCGAGGGTGGCTTTGGCATCGTGTACAAGGGGCTGTCACCGCAGGGGCAGCTCTGGGCCATCAAGCGCTCCACCGTCATGACCAACGAGTTCGAAACCGAGGTGCCTCTCCCCCTCCTGCTCGCGCCCCCCACTCTGCCACCCGCTCATGTGCGGGCCATCGTCCCTGTGTCCCGCACTTGATGCTGCCCTCTGCCCTCATTGCTCTCCGTCACTCCTCCTCACATGATCAGCTGCTTCTGCACCTCACATGGCCTCTCGCAGGACTAGAGAGTCGATTTCCTAAAGGCATGCTCATGCAAGTGTGGGGTGGGTGTTGGCAGGTGCGGGCGATGGCGAACCTGCACCACGTGAACCTGGTGCGGCTGCTGGGGTTCTGTCTCGACCAGAACGTGGAGACGGGCAAGCAGGAGCAGATCCTCGTGTATGAGTTCGTGGGCAACAGGGACCTGCAGTACCACATCCACAAGACTAAGCGTGAGTCGCCTGCCTGCCTGCGCACCGCACCACACCATGCCGCTCACCTGTGCACGCATGGCTTCACTCACACAAACTCTCTGTCAACCACCCTCTTTTGCTGCCCTCCTGCCCGCCAGGCCCGTTGTCGCTGCGGCAGCGGTTGCGGCTGGCGCAGGGCACGGCGGAGGGGCTGGCGTACCTGCATGGGTTTGAGACGTCCATCGTGCATCGCGACATCAAGCCCGCCAACATCCTGGTCACGCACGACATGCAAGCCAAGGTGGCTGACTTTGGGCTGCTCAAGCGCCTCACTCACGGTGGCGATGCGGACGCCACGCGCGTGGCGGGCACGCCTGGCTACGTGGACCCTGACTACAACCGCACGCAGATGGTCACCGCCAAGAGCGACGTCTTCAGGTCGGGTTGCCCCTCACCCACCCTCTCTGCCCTCTCTCCCCTTTCCACCGCTCCCCTTTCTGTTCCCCTTGCCTCTCCCCTTGCCGTTCCCCTTGCCGCTCTCTTTGCCTGCCTAAATGCTTGTCCATGTGCGATCCTTTGTCAGTCCATTGCCGTGCCTCTTGCTGCCAATATCTTTGCTGCTCACCTTGCCTGCCCAAAATGTGCCACTGTGTCTGTGACGGCTCTGGCCTTGCGTGCATGGCGGCATGGGTGTGTGTGTGTGCATGCAGCTACGGCATCGTGCTGCTGGAGCTGCTCACTGGCAAGTCGCCCCAAGTCAACAACAAGACTCACATTCGCAAATGGGTATGTGCGCTGGGCGATGGATCGGGGGAAAAACTAGACCCTGTGTGCTTTTGACATATCGGCAAGGTGGCGTTGAAATGGTGGATGGTGTGTGTGTGTGCGTGGTGTGGCATGGCATGGCAGGCGGCGAAGCTGGTGGAGGCGTACGAGTTGGAGCAGCTCAAGGACGACAGCCTGGAGTGCAGTGAGGAGGCCATTGTGGACTTTGCGGACCTGGCGCTGGACTGCATCAAGTCACCGGGCACACGGCGCCCCGACATGAAGGACATCGCGTACCGCATCAAGACGCTCATTGACAAGCACTGCCCCGACCGCGAGGACGAGTGGGAGTGCGTGGACGGCGACGACACCACGCGCCCCACTGACCCTTCGGGGCGGGGGGCCAAGTCGGGCGTGTCGTCGGGCATGTCCTCGGGGCTGTCGTCGGGGCTGTCATCGGGGCTCAGCGTGGGCGACTCTCAGATGTCACAGGGGTCGTACAAGTCCGGCAGCTCCTTCATGAGCCTGGGCTCCAACGTCAGTGGTGTCAGGAGCTGGCTGCAGTCCAAGCTCACCGGTGGCCGCTAGCTGCTATGCCCACCACGCCCTGTCAGCTTGGCTTGCCTGCAAAGAATCAATTGTCAAGCTTGAACTACCGTGTATTTCCTTCAACCACCCAACAGGTTCTTTTGGCTATTGCCTCTCCTGCTTGCAGTGTTCAAAAACGTTACTTCTTCTGGTCTCCATAGATTTCCCATTGTGTGCACTGAGTGAAAGTAGGTGACATTCCATACATGCATTGTCAGTGTGGAAAAACTGCTGGCACATACCTAACACAACATTCAAGGTTCAGGGTTTAGGGTTTAAGGTTGGCCAGCTTGCTTGTTGCAGGTCCTCCTTCCCCTCCCCACCTGATGGAACCCTTTACCGTACCTTGGATGAACCCTTCCTTCACCCACAACCAGCCAGCACAAGACAAGATGAAGTGCCAGACCAGATGTACCGTAGGCTGTAAGAAAAGAAAGCAAAAATAAGGGACCTGCTAATTTGCCTCTAAAGAGCAATTCCACACTACAGTTTCATTTCAAACAAAGAAAACAAAGTTTCACTGAAATCAAGAGGCTGATATACCGTAGCTGCCTCGCAGCAAATGGTGGAAGTGAGACAAACACTACAGGAAGCACAGAAAAAATCCGAGCGCATGAAATAGGCAGATGCCAAACACAAAAGCAATGTGGACGATGCTTGAAGCCACTTGACTGGATCCAACGGCACTGGTGAAGCTGGCAGGACAGGCGAGGTGAGGTGGGTGACAGCAGCAGCAGGTGGATGAGAGAGAGGTCATGCATGCTGGTGGACATGAACAGCCGTACAGCAGGCATGACGACCAGGGGATGCTCTTGCGACACACACAGAAGCATGCCGAGGAGCAAAGGCACAAGTGCCAACGGATGGTAAGAAGCATGCAGATTGCTCTCCGGATCATGGCAAGGGGAAGAGGCGGGGATAGCACAATGAAGATGATGGAAAGGAGGAGCATTGCAGTGACAATGGCTGACCACAGCGGGCAGCATCGGCTCCTCCAAGGAGGTGCTCTTCACTTGCCCCTGCCTCTTCCCCTCTGCTCCCTCCTCCCTGCTCCTTTCCTGCGCCTCCCCTCACTCTCCTCGCTCTCGCTCTCACTCTCACTCTCGCTCTCGCTCCCACTCCCGCTCTCCTCATCACTCTCGCTCTCGCTGCCACTGCCGCTATCCGTCACCCTGCGAGCCCTATCCTTGGTCCTCCTTGCACCGTCCTCTTCGTTCCTCTCATCACGCCCCTTGCCACCACGCCCCCCTGCACTGTCCTGCCCACCACCGTGTGCTCCCCTCCTCGCCGCCCCCCCCCCCTCCTCTCGTTCGTCGTGCTCCGCCATGGCATCGCGCCGCTGCCCGCCCTCCGTGGCGCTGGGGTGCTGCTCGTCCGCGTCCTGCTGCTGCCTTGCGCGCCTCACCCGCGCACCCTCCCCATCGCCATTCTCACTCCATCCTCGCAGCCTGCCGCCCCTCTCTGCGTCACCCCTCGCACCGCCCTCCTGCGTCTCCTTCTCCCAGTCCCCACGACCGTGCTCCTCATCCCCCCGCGCACCTGTGCCACGGTCAGCCTCGCCCCTGGCCTTGCGCTCCTCGCCCCCCACCGCCACGCCCTCGTCCCCCTCCTCGTCGCTCACCTCTTCGCTTCTCTCCTTCTCCCCCCTTTCCCCTACTCTTAGCGCCCTTGCCTCGCCCTTCTCTCTCCCCGCGCCCTCCACCCCGCCACGTTCATGCTCATCCGCTGCTAGCTTCTCTCTGCGCCTCTCGTCCTCGTCCGCACCTGCCTCCTTCTTGTCCCTACCGTTCACCGTCGTCGCTGCTTCCTCGCCTGCCGTGTCAGTGCCTCCCTTCCCTCTTTTCTTCCCACCCTTTCCCCTTTTGCGTTCCTTTTGTCGGCCCGACTTCTCATCCTCACTATCGCTTCCTTCACTCTCACTCTCACTTTCGCTCTCACTCCCACTTTCACTTTCACTCTCACTCTCACTCTCGTCGTCACCGCCTCTGCGTCGTTTCTTGCGGGACCCGCCATTCCTTCCCGACCTTCTGTCGCGCGACCTCTTACCGCCGCGGGAACGCCGTTTCCTCCTCCGCCGATCACTCTCACTCTCCGAATCGCTCTCCGATTCGCTCTCCGAATCGCTCTCCGAATCGCTCTCCGACTCACTTGACGCAGTCTCGCTCTCACTCCCGCTCGCACTCTCGCTATCACTCTCCGTGTCGCTCTCGTCACTCTCGTCCGAATCGCTCTCCTCACTGTCGCTCTCGCTCTCGCTATACTTTCTCTTTCCGCGCTTTTTCCTCCTCATCTTCTCCTTCTCTTTCCTTCTCGTCCTCTCTTTCTCTTTCCTCCTCCGCCTCTCCTTTTCCTTCCTCCTCTGCTCCTCCCGCTTAATTTTCCGTTCCTCTTCTTTCCGCTTCTTCTCTAGAGCCCTCCTCTTCCTCTCCTCCTCCTTCTGCTGCTTCTCGATCTCCTTCTGCTTCGCGCGGTCGATCGCCGCTTGCTCCTCGAACCGCCGATCCATTAAGAAGCTCCGCTCAGCCCCGAACCCCACATCCTCGGCGCCGCCAAGCCCTCCCGCCGCCAGGGCGGACCTGTCGCGAAGCTTGGCGCTGCGCAGCAGCTGAGAGCGCGAGGGGCGCGCGATGTACACGCGCTCGTTCTTGCACTCGTACGTCCAGTGGCCCAGCTTGAAGCACTTCTGGCACTGCTGATTCGCGCCCGCCGCGCCGGATCGCATGTCCACACGCGTGCCCAGCTTCGCCGCCTGCTCCGTACTTTCCATGTACATGCGTTGCTTCGCCTCCTTGCGCTCCTGCCAACGGCTCGGCCCTTCCTCCTTCTGCCCGTACGCGTTCACGTTGCGAGCAGCAGCCGCTGCAGCCCTCTCTGCCTGCGCGCGAGACATTCCCTTGCTGGCGGCTTTCAACGTGGCCTGCCGGATTCGCTCAGCCGCAGCCAGCGCGGCCGACGGCTTCTCTTCTTGATCTGCCATGGCGGCAAATTGGTGCGTCCAAGCGTGAACCTAGGGAAAAAAACGCAACGAATTATGTAGACTAGTTATTCCCCTCCAAGGCAGGGTTTGACGGCGCCTGCCTCAGATCTGCTCTTGAGCTGGGGGGGAGAAGGGGAGAGTCGAGCGCTAGAAGAGGATTTGGAGGGAGCAATTTGGTGTGGGACAGGTCTCTTAGCGCGTACATCGGCGGGCTTCACATTGACCACAGAAGGCTTGTTATGAATGAACTTGTCAGAGTGCGCAGATATCGAATAACGAGAATGAATGAACTACAGAATGACTGAACAATGAAGTAGCGAGGCCTAAATAGGGGAAAACCTAGCTAGGCGGGGATGGTGTGGTAGGGTTGGCTCGCGAAGTGTCGCGATTGGTGCGGAGGCGGCTCGGTGAGGTTGGGATGCGAAATTGTAGGCCGAACCAGAGGGTCGCGTGGCCTTCGGGATGGCCTCGATAACGAGCGCCTCAGTAAGGATTTGTAAATCCTTACACTCTCCCACCTCCTAAATAAGGCAGCCCTATACGAAAATGAGTCCCACAGTAGCGAGGATGCCGTTGATCTTCACTTCAGCTGAATCCGACGGCTGAAATCCCTTGGGCGATATTTTTTGAAATAGTTGGAATGTAGGCCGTTGATGCTGTCAGGTCTCGATCTGACGGTCGAAGATGAAGTGGACCAATTCGAATTGAAGGTTGGAAGTGGAGCCGTTGATCGAGCAGATGTTGATCGGACGATCAGAGCTCGCGTTGACCGCTAATGTTTCAAATGCGATTTAGCAGGAACCGTAGATCGTGTCGGTGTGATCGCGGTCGTCCGTCAAGCTGACGCAACCTGACAAATACAGAAAGGGCCGAGAAAAACGCCAAGGAAAGAACAGTGCAAAGCACTTTCTCCCCCCCTCCAAAGAAACACTCCTGAAAATGTCCCGCAGCTGCGCCGAGATGAAAACCAACAAAACCGGGTGTGAAGTCCCACTGAGAAAAACCGTTGAGCGTAGAACGTGTCGGTGTGAAAAGTCGATGACGAAACCAGAATTACGTGCCCCAATTTTTTTTTTTTTTTCAAGGGCGAACCCGTAGATGTAGACCAGAAACTCTGACTGAAAATTTGAGTTGCTCGAACTGAACCTGTGTTGTCCTCACGTGCCCGAATCATGCCAAATCTGCAGCAGTTGCAGCTGGCAGCACCTGACGTGGCTGAAATGAATTCTATTTGTCGTGGGCGGGTCGATGGCGAGTTGTCAGAAGCAGAGTTGGAATGGATTCTCCCGAAAGCTTTGTCGTAATCCGCCGAGAGTTCGTGGGCAGGGATGAAAATTTGCAGCTGTCTCTCCCCCCCGTCACTGTTGCTGCCGCCTTCTCCAGTTCCTCGTCGTTCGTACCCCTTGAAATCTCGTGCTGTTCCCGCGATGTTGCCCTGCGTCGTTCTTACGCGTGTTTAACCAAAAACCCGAAAACCGCTGCGAAATTGTCGCCGCTTCTGCCGTAAGGCCTGTAAAGTCCCGCGTAAAACTCCGAAAATGTCGTTCGAAAAACAGCCCCGTAAATCCGCAGTTGCAGGTGCAGTTCGCCTCCGAAAATCTCGGACGTGCTATAGCCGCCCACTCGGTCACCAGCAGTTGCCGTCGGTTTACCCGACCCCAGCATGTGGGTTAAATCGAGAACCGGGGACTGCCCTGTCAGAAATAACTGAGCAGGAATGAATGAACTAGCACAGAGTTTGGTACAAGTAGGAAACCCTAACTTTGTGTATCCCCTAAGGTGTAACCCACTACAGCCTACACAATATAAACATACAATGTTTGACACACCCCCATAGGCGCAGTGGGAGACAACCACAGGGTCACAAGACCAGTCAAAGCAAAGCAAAGCAAGCTCAGGGTGGATCTCAAGGATTCCACACAAATTCCGAGCACAAGCAAGCGGTCACAAGACCAGTTCACATGCAGGTTTATAACAAAGCAAGAGATACAGTGATCACAACCTAGCAAAAGTAAACAAGTAGGCATATATATATAGTGATCACAGTACAAGCAAGGTCAAGAGGTAAGCAAGTGAGGCCCAGTAGGTACAAGGCCTAGCAGAGTGCAAAAGCGCTGATGGTCACAAGGCTGAAGCGCCTTGGTGAACACATCAGCAGTGTTGGCCTCCGTGGCCACGTAACGCAGACAAAGCTGACCACGCTGCTGCAGCTCTCGAGCAAGGAAGTACCGCAGAGCGATGTGCTTCGTTCTGTGCTCCAGTCTGTGCTCCTCACACAAGGCAATGGCAGCCTTGTTGTCGACGTACAGCACTGGAGGAGAACGAGGCCGCTCTCCCAAGTCGGTCAGCAGGTAGGTCAGCCAGCGTAGCTCCTGAGCAGCCATGGCTGTGGCGTAGATCTCAGCCTCACAACTGGAGCTGAGAACAGAAGAAGAGCGAGTAGAACGCCAAGAAACTGAGCCAGAGCCAAGGCTGAAGGTGTAACCCTGGGACGACCGCTGAGTAGCCTGGTCGTCTGCCCAAGAAGAGTCTGAGTGCCCTGTGAGAACAACCCGGTCTCGCCCTCCAAGCACAAGCCCCATGCCTGACGTACTGCACAAGTAGCGCAACACCCTCTTAGCAGCATCCATGTGCTCCTTCCGGTGACGGCCAGGAGCGACATAGCGTGCTAGGATGCTAAGAGGGTATGCAAGGTCAGGTCGAGTGCAGGTCATCAGGTACATGAGGCAGCCCACAAGCTCTGGATACGGGCCACTCGGCTCTACGGACTCATCCGAAGGCAGAGCTGAGAGCGAGTGACCGGTAGGCAGAGGAGTGGACTGAGGCGAGGAGTACGTGAAGCGGAAGCGCTGGAGAACCTGCTGCACCATGTGTGACTGAGTCAGGGTGATGGTGCGCCGTGCTCTGTCCCGGGTGATCCGCAAGCCAAGATAGCTCGTCAGCTCACCCAGGTCTGTGCACGTGTGTCTCCTCTGCAGCTCCGACTTCACGTGAGCGAGTGCCGCGGTGTCAGCAGTGGCAAAGACCAAGTCGTCGACGTACACGAGGATGTAGAACGGCGGCAGCGAGGTGTTGGTGCGTAGAAACAGCGACGGGTCAGCAGTAGAAGGAGCGAACCCAAGAGCCGCAAGTGTCGTCCTCAGTGTGTCGTGCCACTCACGTGGCGCCTGGCGGAGACCGTAGACCGGCCGCTGAAGCCTCCACTGGGTGCCAGGAGGAACTGACCCAGTGAAGCCAGGGGGGCGGCGCAGCCAGATCTCCTCGTGCAGGCTGCCCTGCAAGAAAGCAGTGCTGAAGTCAAGAGAGTGAAGCTCGTAGTCGCGGTGAGCGGCTATGTGCAGCAGCACCCGAAGAGTAGTCATCTTCGGGGTGGGGGAGAAGGTCTGAAAGAAGTCTACTCCCTCTCGCTGACTGAAGCCTCGAGCCACGTAGCGCGCCTTGAAGACAGGCGGAGAACCCGGCGGCCGCTTCACCCTGAAAATCCACATGCCACTGACAATGTTCGCCCCAGGAGGGGGAACCTCGTCTACGTAGGTGCCTGTGGACTTCCAGGAGGCCATCTCTGCGTCCATGGCTGTCTGCCACTGAGAGGAGTAGGGACCCGCCATCGCCTCAGCGTAAGAGCGTGGGGTCGGGATGTCTGGTGCATCCGGGTCTCCCTCAGGGGCAACTAGCAAGGACACGAGACGGGGCAAAGCAGCAGCAAGGCAGTGGAACTCCTCCTGTCTGTCCTCAAGGACGTCCGTGCCGAGGGCACACTCACCCCCGACGGACGGAGGACAGGCAGACGCAGACTCAGACCTAGCGACAAGGCTGGCAGCGTAGTCTAGGCGACAGCGAGCAGCAAAGTCAACCAACTCAGCGACCAGAGCAGACGCAGCAGAGGACTCAAAGGTCGGGTCAGTGACAACTGTAGCGAGGAGACGCGTAACAGTGGGACTGGCAGCACGACGGGAGTCAGACTCCGGGTCAGGAAGAGTAGGAAGAGAGGACGCAGGAGGAGACGGCAGCGGGACACGCTGCGGAGCAGTGGAGGGACGCAGAGTCATGTAGTGAGTGCCAGGGACAGGAGGAGGACGCTCACGTGGGACACGACGACCAGTGCGAGCAGTACGAATAGGCGACGCAGGACGAGACTCAGGCTCACGACGCTCTGTAAGACCTCCTGTGGGACCAGCGTAAGGAGAGGGAGCAGGGAGAGGCGAGGCAGGCGGTAACTGTGACTGCGGCTGGACAGGCAGAGGACACTCGACGGAGGGAGGAGGACTAGGAGGAGGAGCCTGACCAAGAACCTGCTGAAGGAGCGGTACGAAGTACGGTCGCGGCCGCGCAGCGTCTCCAGAAGCAGCAGGGACACCAGTGGCAGCCCCAACGCCCGAGTCCTCAGCACCAGCAGCAGCGCCACCGGTCGGGTCCTCAGCACCAGCAGCAGCTCCAACGCCCGGGTCCTCAGCACCAGCAGCAGGGCCACTGGTCAGGTCCTCAGCACCAGCAGCAGCGCCACCGGTCGGGTCCTCAGCACCAGCAGCAGCTCCAACGCCCGGGTCCTCAGCACCAGCAGCAGCTCCAGCCCCCGGGTCCTCAGCACCAGCAGTAGCTCCAGCGTCCGGGTCCTCAGCACCAGCAACAGCACCACCGCTCGGGTCCGCAGCACCAGGAGCACCACTACGAAGACTGCAGCGCCGCGTGTACCACTCGCGGATCACCTGAATGGGGGGGAGCTCCTAGGTAGGAGGGGAAGTACCGGGACGAGCTCCAGCAGCACCTCTTCGGAGGCGGCAGTACTCGAGGTACCTCTCCTGCAGCTGCTGGGAGGAGAGGGCTCCTCCAGGTGGAGCACGCTCAGGCTCAGCACCCCCAGACTCAGCACCCCCAGACTCAGCACGTCCAGACTCAGCACCCCCAGGCTCAGTACCTCCAGGCTCCGCACCTCCAGGCTCCGCACCTCCAGGCTCCGCACCTCCAGGCTCCGCACATCAAGGCTCCGCACCTCCAGGCTC